CCACATATTCTGGCACAAATAATCATTCTATGATGTATTCCATTATTTACTAATGGAACGAATGATATAACATAAAACTTTACATACCTGTTGTGGTACAGTTTCCTTGGGTGTTGGTGCCTGAAAATAATCATTATTATATATTATACTTAAAAATGATTAAAGTAGTTATTTACTTAAACTGCATGAATACAAAAAACAAATGCAGTACAATGAAACCCCAATCACCGAGTGTCCCTGTCATGTAAACAATCAAGCACTTGCAATTTGGTAAATTTCCTCACAATTCAGAAATCTTACCAATTATTCTGGCACAAATAATCACCAGGAGGCATTCCATTATATAGGCCTACTAATGTCATGAATCATGTAACATAGAACTTTACATACCTGCTTTTGTGGCACAGTTTCCTTGAGCGTTTGTCCCTGAAAACAATCATTATTATATATTTTAAAATATTTAAAAATAATAAAAGTAATCATTTACTTCAATTGCTAACTACTAAAAACAAATGCAGTACAATTAAACCCCAAACACTGTGCGTCCCCGTCGCGTAAACATTGAAGTCCCCACATCAGTAAATTGAAACTGGCATAGAATTTACAAGTTCCACAAAATTCAAAATCTTTCCAAATATTCTGGCACAAATAATCACTCTATGAGGAATTCCATTATTTACTAATGTTATGAATGATGCATTGAAAGCTTTATATACCTGCATTAGCGGCAATGTTTCCTCAGGTGTTGGTGCCTGAAAATAATCATTATTATATATTATATCTACAATTAAAGACTAAAGTATGTATTGACTTTAACTGCATAAGTACCAAAACAAATGCAGTACAATGAAACCCCAATCACCGAGTGTCCCTGTCATTTAAACAATTAAGCTGTTGCAATTTAGCAGATCATTGAAACAAGGGAAGTAGACAAAGATTACAAGTTCCTCAAAAGTAATTCATAAATCTTATCAAATATTCTGGCACATATAATTACTATGCGGAATTCCATTATTTACTAATGTTAAGTGTGATGAAGCATAAAAATTTACATACATGCTCTTGCGGCAAAGTTTCCTCGTGTGTTGGTGCCTATGAAAAAATCATTATCATTTGTTTTAAGTGCATTAATATTACTATTAACAAATGTAGAACAATGAAAGCCCAATCACTGAGTGTCCCTGTCATGTTTACATTCAAGCTGTTGCAATTTAATAGATTCTTCAAAAGTAATTAATTCTTACCAAGTACTCTGGCACAACATAGAGCTTGCTCCTCTTTATTGCCTTTCTTAAATCTGCAGGCAACACCAGCAATGGCTGCAAGACTTAGGCGTTATCACATTTCATAAGTGAAATAGCACCTCTTATTCTTGGAAATAAGCTCCGAATGTGTTCCTCTAGTGCACTCCTTGATTTTGCATTAAGTTTTGTATATGAACGTCTTGTTGGTGTTCTTTTAAGTGGAGCAAATCCTGCAGAGAACATGTATCTTTCTCAATTTTTTTATCAAGCAGGTAAATTCCAAGGAATTATTTTGCAGGATAATTGTTTTAGCTTGCCAGCCCAAGAAGATTTAAGCCACTATAGTGAATTAATCAATTCATTTGAAAAATCACATACAGCATGCTCTACAATTCAGGACTACTTTAGAGGAATTTATTTTAAAAACTGGGCATACCCAAATAAGAACCACTTAATTTGGTCAAATTTGGTTCTTAAATCGGATGGCATTGTGAATTCAGATTCAAGATTTTATTTAATTGTCAGGTACAAGCATAGTGCTTGGCATTCATATAAAACATGGTTGTAGAATCTCACAAAAAATATGTTCTAATATACAAGATTTACACTTTATTTGCACCAGACTTAACTAAGACCTTTTGAGGTAGTTTTTACATCCCCTTCCTGGTGCAGCGCATCTAAGTTTAATCTTCTAATATCTGTTGCCCCTGGTTTCAAACAAGTTATTTTAACAGAAAATGCAGGAGTACATCTTTTCAGCTGTGATTTGACACGTGAGGCACCTACTCTCTTGTTTCTTCTTCTAAATAATTTGGCTAGCGTGGTTGAAATCGATAAAGGAGTAGAGGCAAGAGAATTTCCTGCAGCCAGAGAGGATGAAGAAGGAAAATTAGCTGCAGGCAGAGAGGAAGAAGCAGGAAAATTTGCTGCAGGCAGAGAGGTAGAAGCAGGAAAATTTGCTGCAGGCAGAGAGGAACAAGCAGAAGAATTTGCTGCAGTCAGAGAGGATGAAGCAGGAGAGTGAAGTGCAGGAAGAGAGGAAGCAGGCAAATTGGTTGAAGTCAGAGAGAAAGCAGCAGAATTAGAAACAGGAGTATCAGTCATTAATGACATAATCTCCGCAATGCTCTCATAAGTCCCTGTTAAGATCTGCATAATAATAATATAATATAATGTAATATGTATAATATATAGTATAATGTAATATGAGTATGATTGGCCTGCTTTACAACAAAATCATGCTAATAAAAATGTTATACATTCGGCCTAATATAAAAACATCTGTTTCTTCATATTTATATCAAGGCTAATTGGAAGAACAATAAACAATTTCTAAGAGAAACTTTTAATTCATAGTTTCTTAATTGTTTTCAATATGAATGCAACACACTTTTTAGCATAGTCCTAGCCTAGGCAGCCTAGTGATTAGGCCTAGCCTGGTGTATAAACAATATACCTGATTACTCAAGTGAAGTGGAATTAGCGTTTGTCATGTTTTATGAAGATTTTTGACCTGATGAGGCATGGCTAGCCTAGTTAAGTTTTAACACTTTCTGTTGTGTTAATGTGTGTAGGCCTAGGGCCTAGTAAACAAGCTGTCAAGTGTCAATGATTTTTTTTTTGGTTAAAAGTCACGTACAATACGAATGTCTGGCCTAGGCTTAAGGGAGATGTACACATCATGAATGATAAATAGTGACATCTAAACCTATGGCTAGTGATAATCTGTAATTTAATACGGTTTCTAGACAAAATTCTTTGAACACTTAACACAATGAATAGGCCCAGGTATGCGCTACTTGATGTTCAAATTCTGCCACTCACTAGAGACAACTTCTTTGGTGCATCCTCATTCTCCTATATTTCGACAACTAAATTAATTACTAGTAGTATGGCCTTGCTTGGGCCTTCTTGATGGCCCATCTTTAATGGTTCACATCAAGATGATTATGAACACCTATCCAAATAAAAAACTTCAAAAGAAAATCAGATTGAAGTTTACTTTATTAAAATTTAATCTGAATAATTACCTTCAAAATTACCTGCAATACTCATCTTTTCATCACCGTCTACAAAATGTGGCATCTATCTTGAAACCAGCTGAAACTGTAGTACATGTACTACATGGCGAGATAATACAAATTGTATCTTGTCATGACAACATAACTTTTATTATGTCGACATGTCAAGATAACCTATCTCGCCAAGACAACATAACATTTTTACTATGCGGACTTGTCAAGATAATATATCTCACCATGACAACATACAACATTTATTATGTCGACTTGTCAAGATAATCTATCTAGCCATGACAACATACAGTTTTTAGTATGTCGACTTGTCAAGATAATCTATCTCGCCATGACAACATACAACTTTTACTATGTCGACTTGTCAAGATAATCTATTTCGCCATGACAACATACAATTTTTACTATGTCGACATGTCAAGATAATCTATCTCGCCATGACAACATACAATTTGTATTATGTCGACTTGTCAAGATAACCTATCTCGCCATGACAACATACAACTTATATTATGTCGACTTGTCAAGATAATTTATCTCGCCATGACAACATACAATATGTATTATGTCGACTTATCAGTATAATCTATCTCGCCATGACAACATACAATTTTTACTATGACGACTTGTCAAGATAATCTATCTCGCCATGTCGACATGATATGTATATTATGTCGACTTGACAACTTAAATTATCTTGACAAGTCGTCAAGTCGAATGGCACTTAGGTGCTTCCGTAGATACTTATTTGTTATTTTTAATATGTTAACTACTATATAGACGACACGTTTGTTTTTTTATGTTGTTTATTTTTTTAAATATTATAGAATCAATCACTACACGTACTACGCGTAGTACGTGTAGTAATTATGACACAGTTAAACCGCCATAGCAAAAGTTTATATTGCCGTGAGGCAAATTGATATCGCCGTGAGCAAAAGTTTTTGTTGCTGTGAACCAAATTGATATTGCCGTGGCCAAAAGTCTATATTGCCGTGAGGCAAATTGATATTTCCGTGGGCAAAAGTTTATGTTGCCGTGAACCAAATTGATATTGCCTTGGGAAAAAGTTTATATTGCCGTGAGGCAAATTGATATTGCCGTGAGGCAAATTGATATTGCCGTGGGCAAAAGTTTATATTGCCGTGAGGCAAATTGATATTGCCGTGGGCAAAAGTTTATATTGCCGTGAGGCAATTTCAAAAGTTTATATTGCCGTGAGGCAATTTCAAAAGTATAAGTATAAGTATCTCCACTTACCGTGGTAGGTAACAAACTGGTCCTACGGACACTTAGGAATGAGAAATATATAACTGGTCTATCTTAGTGTACGTCGACTATCAAAGTTCTCATATCGGCGGTATGAAGTTAATACGCACTAGTATTCTACGCCATTCTCCATTCATAGCTTTATCAGGTCAGGCACCGCCACCAAGCAGGTTCCTCTGGTCTTTGTGGTCATGTCTGCCAGGAAGATGGTTGATTATGTGGCAGTATTAAGGCACATTGTTGGATTGTTGCCTGCAATGGCTGTGCGGAAAGTGGTAGGCCTAACCGATTATGAGTTGTCTGTGTGGCAAGCCGTTGGTCAAATTTTGCCTGGTGTAATGATGACTGGCTGCCTCTTCCATTACATACAGGTATACCTATATAATTCAGAAACTTTCCCAAACGATAACTTCATTTTGATTTACCCACGTGATGATAATAATTATTAATACTATTATTACTCATACTATTTTTATATTTTACATATTAACTTTTACAGGCTGTGTTCCGAAAGGTTCAAGAATTTGGATTACAAGGCCGGGGCCTACCGATTTGACGCTGCTACACACATGGTACATATATATTTTTTTAATTCAGCAAATTTAACAAACATAAATTAATAAACAATACAAAACATCAATCTAACATTAATTATAATTAATTCAAATCTTTATCATTAATAAAAGTATTAAATTCACTTTATTTTTATATTTTATTTTTATTATTCAGATAATCAGACAGTTGATGGCTTTGCCCACGCTCCCAGTAGAGCCAGTTGCTCCTGTCTTTCAGCGTCTTGAGGATTCCTCGGCAGATGTCCCTGCGCTCCAGCAAATGATGACTTACAGGCGATCGTTCTGGTTAGATGGAACTGTCTTCACACCTCGGGATTGGGTCATATACAGACAAACGATCTGGACTAACAATGATCTTGAGGGATGGCATCACCGCCTTAACAGGAGAGGCAAACGTGGTAAGAAAATGGTTTATTAATTACATTTTGATAGAAAAAAGATGTACACAAGACAGAATATGAGAGCCTACGTCTAATTAACATTTGATATAAACAAATTAATAACTCATTTTTTCATATACATTGTTTCAAAAAACAAAAATTAAAGTACTTATAATTAAACTATGTTTGTTGTTTCAGCTAAGATTCCATTCTATATGCTCTGCACTTTACTCTACGAGGAAGCCATCACTGTATCCATCAATGTCGAGTTAATCTACAGAGAAGACCAGCTCCGTGTGGAAAGGAATTGATGCAAATCAGCCACTGCACGATTGGTTGCACATTGGGATGAATATCGTGCCGGTCAACGCAGTGCCTGTGCACTTATGCTAGCAGCCAGCAAACTCATCAGCAATAACACTCGTGGTGATTAGTAATCAAAATTGACATGACCTACTGCGACATACTTAAATAAATAATTGTTTGTAAATACAGTAATATAAATAACATGATTGTTTAAATTGTTTTATAGTTCAACGTTGTACTGAATTTCCTGAAATAAAAATATTCAATGTTGAAAGATAAATTGTTGTGATGTTTCATACTTCCTGCTTTAAATCAATCAATCATTTAAAAATGTATATGCCTACAAAAGTTTATACAATGAAACATAAAGCATCAATGACAATAATTAGCTTCAATAATATTGAGATAAATACTGGTTTAGCAGTATATTAATCAACATGTAAATGCAACTATATGTAAAGCGTATCAATAATATTAATATAAACATCGATAGCATTACTGTATAAGAATCATAAAATCAATTGGTTTGATTATCAACATAATAACGTAATAATGTTAAATCATTACAAGTATTAATATTATTAACTTGCAAAAACATTATTAACTTACACAAACCTAATAAAATCCACTGTTTTCCCCAAGAAATCATGGATACAGTAGCAATAGATTACAATAGGGAGTTACTGTTAACCACACCACACAACATATACACAGCTTTGTGCCTATTTGGCGTTCCATACATATTACGGCCGAACAAGTGTACGGCCGAACCGGACGTCATTCCAGTGCGTACTTAACGACATCCGAATAGCAACAAGCGCTACAATACAGTTTATTTGTAAATGTACGTGTTTGAGAAAGCACGTTTATTGTCTAAAATTGTATTTTGGCGGTGATTGCCTTCCATACAGTTGGACGTGGTTTAACGAAGAACGACCAGTCGAATACGGCCATTGATAAAAACAAACAGTCGAATACGGCCATTGATAAAAACAAACACTTGCACATGGTATGGATGCCCTGCCTAGCTAGCTAGGCCTATAGGCTAGGGCTACAAGAGCCGCATTGTTAGCATTGTATAATACTTAAACAAGGTACGTCTGCAACTGAATTATTCTTAGTTATTTTTTTTTTCTTATTTGAATTTATTTCTTTCGAAAGTGTACTTTCTATCACATATACTTGCACTGTCTACTTACTAGGCCCAGGTAGCCTGCTGTAGGCCTAACTAACCTAGGCCTAGATCGTCCCCCTCTACACTACACAGTAAATCAGTAGTAGGCTAGGCCCCCCCCCCCCACGCTACAGTACAGATGTTTTCTAGGCAACAGAACGTGATTGCACCTTCCTTCCCAGGTGTTCATGTAACATTTGAATATTGTTAGCTAACCAGTTGTGTATGTTCAGGGAGTTGTTATTTAGAAGGAGTCACAACAGAATCCTCTCTTTTGATCAGTCTACTTTTCCGACAAGATAATGAAAGCAGAGAGGTAGATAGCGACGAGGTCCAAATACCGAATATGAGCATGCGCAGTAAACCTTCTTATGCTTGTGACGAAGAATTTAACGCTTGAGTAAACTTGTCATACTACGCTTTGTTGACAAACCAGGGAATGACCTGAGAATCAGCGATTATAGCCGCCAAAAAGCATGGCAACTAGAGAGAGTTTCAGTTATCAACTTCACGCTAGCGTATAACCGCTACAACAAATATGCCCCTATATCATTTCCCTGCTACGAAAACATGTTCAGTTTGAACTCATATTACGTTTCTGTACGAAACTGTAAGAAAATGAGACATAAAGAAAATGATAGTTAACAAGTTGCATAAACTATTTGTCCTGGTTATATTTGTGCGGAAAATATAAAATATAAGCTTTAAAAGTTACCAAAAACCCATGAAAATTACAAATGACGGTGTACGAACAAACACATATGTGGCAAAGACAAGCCAAACCAGTCACTCGTTGCAAAAATTGATTTTGAGTTATTAATACAGTCGAGTTCGCCTAAGTCGAATCTAATGGGACTGGCATAAAAAGTTCGAGTTATACAGATTTCGACTTTCGAAAAAAAAATATTAACATAGAACAACACTATGTCTACTCAATGCCCACAAAATCGAATTTCACGCAAAACCGAACATTTTCTTAAGTCCCAAACTCAATCCTTTTCTTCTTTTAATAAAATACTTTCCGAAAACATGAACTCCCTATTCCAAATCTCGGACGATTTGTCCAATTGAGGACGGTAACACTCACTCGAAAAACCAGACGATAGTTTAATCAGGATAACAACTACCTGGTTTAATAGACATCGTTTAACGACAAGCATACCAAACGCTGTGAAAATGAGACGCTTAGCTATACTCGCATTGCCATGGAGATTATCTGTTGATTAACACGACACATCAGTAGACGTTTTCTTGGTTAATTATGAAGTGAATTTTACGCATTCCAATGTTTTAATAAGTGTATATTCTTGCTTTTAATCCTTAAAAATCATTTGGAATCAACCTGCAATAAAGAGGGAACTCAAACAAAGCAAAATTAGACGTCTAATTCAAATTCGTTAGATTTGTCAGTGTAAATTTCAAATGCACCTCATTCATTCTTTAAACCCAAGACGCTTTTCAAAACATGTTGCTGATTTAATTACAGAGAAAATTTGTAGAGAATAAAATATAATTTGTTAGGTTTATTTAGATTTGACTCTAAAATATACCATGAGGGTTTCTTATTTGTTTTTTGTTTTGTTTTATAAATTTGTTTAATTAAAACATTCTTGATTACACCGAGCTTGTTACTGTCACACACTATGAAACTTTGGGCGATCTGATGTCATCACAGCCGAAGCACATGTCTACTCTGCAAAACACCCCACGAAAATGGACCAATTGGCGGGCAGGAAGAGTTTTTGGGGGCGCGACCTGTTCTGTTTACAACTAGACTGCCGACCAGCAAATGGCATTGCCCAACGAAGAATGTGTGCTTGGAAAAACATAATCTGACCTAAAGAAATGCACGCAAAAAAAATATAAAAGTCGCATCAGTTTTATTGGTAATAATTAAATTTGCTGAGCAGTACAGCAAAACAACAGGTACTGTACGTATTATTAAATAATGTGTTGAATTTGCGTAGGCTAGGCAGTCAAAAGAATCCAGGGCTTTGATAAAATTAATTAAATAGCTAGGCCCTGACTACAACAATCTTGTTCGAAATGGGTTCAGTACAAGTTTTACAAACTAAACTGGACGAAAAACATTGGAGCTGGTCCAGAGGGGTGTCTGTATTGTGAGAGTAGACTGCAACTTACGACATACGATCATATGAGAGCCAAGTTCCAGAACGCGCTGTCTGAGATGTTAGTTTGACAAGGCTAACTTGTTGATGTACAACAAGGATTGAACTTCGTATTTTCCCACGGCTGTGTATTTTTCCCACGTTCGCTACTAAATTTGGAACTTCGACTAAAATCGGCCTATCCGGACAGGAAAATTCCGTCGATATAGCTGAAATTCGACTTATAAAAATTTGAATTAAACAAACAATTTACACAGTAATACATAGGAAAGAATTGGGACTTTTTCAAAAATTCGACTGACGCGAATTTTCGACTTAAACAGTCGACTTTGTCGGACTCGACTGTACAGTGTTAGAGAGTAAAATAATAGCTATAAAATGGTAAAATAATCATTCAAATCGGACATTTCCTTATGAATTTACAAGCATTTAACCACACAGCTGTTTAAAGAACAATATATGAGAAATTAGCCGTCAAAGTTTATGATTTCAGGCATTTCTCATGCAGAAACTACCTTTAAATCCTTAAAAAGTATTGTTTTGACATTGAAAATGGGGAAAATAACAGCATAGAATGATGTGTAGATATATAAAGGTTAGTTTAGTGCAATAAAATAGATTTTAAAAAATTTGACATTCCAGCATGTTTTGGCCATTTGCGACGAGTGACTGGTTTGGCTTGTCTTTGCCACATATAACTCCACTTCAAATAGTTGTAACTTTTTAACGAAAAGGCGAATTTTTATACGGTTTTTTGTAAATTATTCTTCGTAAAACTCTCTTGAGATGCAAATTTATTGAACAGCGAAAATTGAATAAAAAAAAACTCTGCGCATGCTCTACTGGTCGTTTGTCACGAAATTATTTTCTCTACAAAGACAAAATTTGAACAACTGAGGGCGCAAGATTGTTGGAAAAGTACCCTATTGACAAAAGACAGGCAGCTAGTCACGGTTCTCTTTGAAGATTCAGTACACCGCGCTTCGCTCATTGGCTGTAGATAAGTAGATAAATGTGTTGTGACTCCTTCTAAATAACAACTCCCTGGTGGTATATTCCTTTGTGAAAATTTTCACAACTTCGAAATATTGTCTCCATATCTTCGCTAATTAATCACTGTAATTTAGCTTACACTTATGCATGGAGGGAGCACTTAAAATGTACAATAATCATTTCACTACTCAACAAACCCTGAACTCATCTTGCTGATGTACTCCAACACATCACTGGCGCATGGTAGCAACCAACTGACTGCAGACCATTTCCGGTCACACATTACCATCCATAACGCAACACCCCCTAGCCTAGTTCTGTCACCTGGATTTGGAGTCTACTATATATTTCCCATTTTTGATAACTTAAATACCTCAATTCAATAGGAGACACTTTTAAAAGGAGTAAAGGCGGCAATAAATATTAAATTATATCATAATTGATTAAAATTTTACAATATTAGGAGGAAAGCATCTCGCCAAGAGCTTGACTATCCTGAATTTTTTCCTGAAAAGAAAGAAAGGCATAACATGAATCTCCATTTAACACATATACATGGTAACTAGAGTAAAAAGTCTAAAATTTACAAGAATCGAACTCTATGATTGAAAGATAAACGCATGATCGATCAGGCTACATCCACTTTAAGCACAGTATTTTACTGCACAGTATTTTACTGCACTATGGGCAGTGATAGTGTGATCTGTTACCACCTGCTTTGTGCTCATGTGAAAGCAGTACATCCTTTAATAGGGGATACCCCAGTGTACTGGTCCATTCACCCCCTGTCATTGTGGATAGACAAAGAGTGCTTCATGACAGCAATGAGACAAGATTTGTGACCCTTAAGGAAGAAGAAAGTTGTTGAAAGAGTTGTCCACAGAGCGCCATGAGAATCTTTGATTTACACTGGCGCATTGCAAAT